GACACAAAAGAAATGGCGAATATCCTGTCACCTCGTCCCTGGCAGGATTTCTGGACTTCATTTAAAAACAACAAAACTAACTGTTCCAAACTCAGCAGGCCCACTACTGTGATATGTTACTTTAGCATCAACATTCACTCTCAGGATCCAGAGCTAACACAACTCGTATAAAGCCACATTTACACTCAGTTCAGCTCGGTCTAGTCCTAGTAGGGTAATTGTGTCTACACAGGTGTTGTCCGTGCAAAGCGGACATGTTTTTTCGACGCAGCTTCCCTGTGGTCGGTCTTGTGGACTGATTGGTCGGCTGGTCAGTGGGAGACTGAGGATCAGCCAGTGGTGGCTTCCGGTATGCACGATTCATTAACAATCTGGATCCAGGGGTGTAAACATCTTCTCTGTAGCGGCTTCTTTCCACTGAAAACGCCGCTGTGGGTGAGTGGGCCAGGCTGTGACGCCTCTTCCAACAAACCATTCTGAATTGTCTTATTTGTTTTTTATTTGTGGTTAAAATACATAGGTTGGGATAAATGAATTGGCTTCTGTTATATTATTATTGGTTTAAGGTAACGACGATACGACGGTCAACAGAAAAGTTTTCATGACAACCGCTCACTGACCAGCTGGACGTTCAGCTGATAGAGATAAGAGGTAGGCGACCAGTCAGTCCAAGTTCCTAAACGTTCTCAGACTCCTGCAAAAGACAGACTTTGGTGATAGGTCTATTCAGGAGTCCAGTCTTCGTCTTGATCCGAAGATGACGAACAGATCCTTTTTTGTCTTCGATAGTCTCTTGAATTTTTCCAGTTAGCCAGAATTCCGTGGCGATAGTAAATATTCTATTTGGTAATATTCTAAGAAATCACAATATAACTATAGACACATTACTTTGTGTATGTGTGTGTGTGTGTGTTTTCTATCAGGGACACTATAGCATTTTTTTTATTTTTTAACACCGCGTCCAAGGCTAGCGTCTTTACCATCTCATCCTAAGCTGGTGTCTTTAATGGCAGAAATTCAGTGAGAAGATTGTGTTGGGTTATAAAAGCTGTGTGTGTGTACTAGACTTACAGTCTGGTCGGTAGCCCACACTCCGTGGTGTTCTCTTCACCAGCAAACTAAAAGCACACACCAGGACCATTGTTAACATGTCGGCAGCAAACCATCAGTTGTTTACGCAAGGTTGAATCAGGACCATGGAGAAGGCCAAAGGTACTAGAATGTGTTTGACATTTACCAGAAAACAACTGTAAGAAAAGACTTTATGAGCTTTTTACGTGCCCACAAATGTTAGTCTTGAATTTTTTCTCTCAACACATTCTCTTGTTTACAGTTTTCTCTGTGGCCCTGATGCACTGTTATACATTCATAAAGCTTAAAGTGGCAGCTGCTGCATTACCTTGCTACTTTAACCATTTTGGGATTGTATTGTTTGAGCAGTTGCAATAACGTCTTCATAGTCTTCCCCGTGTCAATGATGTCCTTCAGACACAAAATGAGAGAAGTTCACGTTTTTAAGTAGATTTAAGACATCTCTAGGTGTGTAAAGAAATGTAAAAGAAGTCGGTCCGTACCTCCACAATCAAGACATTCTGTAAAAATGAAAAGACACTCAAATTTAATGGAAATGTGCCGAGACAACTTGAATCTTTACTAGATGAGGAACAAGCGCAGCAGTACGGATAAGGAATAGCACAGGTTGCTTTAAAAAAAGAAAAAGCTACAGCTTACATGAAGTATTTAGTTCTGTTTATTTGACCCAAAAACAAGATAATCACTTCGGCTTCATTTAAAATAATTAATCTGAACACATTTATGAACTCTTCACATTACTACATAAAAAAGCCTAACTGTGTGTCCACTCTGGATAAATAATGAGTCACACACCACGACTGATCTGATGTCTGGTTGCTTGTGCTCACCTTGCCTGTCAGAGTGGACAGGTCGTCTCCACCGATCACTCTGATCTCACCGGTCGACTGGTCGTTCTGTAAACACAAACAAATCCGACAGTAATATCGGACCGTTCTAGACTTGAAGTCACAGCTGATTTCAGGTGGAAACGTTACTGATCAGAACTGCAGGATGAGAAAATCAGTGTTTTGCTTAAATAGTTTTTTCCTACTGCGTTTCTGTGTAAAATTATTACAATCTGACAAAAAAGCTTCAAAAATGGACTGTTTGGAGAAACAGAGGTTACATCCAAACAAGATGGATAGGGTTGGGCATCGAGCATCGATTGGAATAACTCCGTTTTTTTTTCTTCCAATTTTATTTATTTTCATTCCTTGTTTGCTTCTCAGGCTGCCGGCCAGAAGACGAATCCTCAGCCGATCTCTGCTGAAATAATAAATAAATAAAAGTGATCTGCAAATTCTGATCAACGCCTTTCAGAGCTGATCACAGCAGCTGTCTGTCGCAGTCCACAGAGACCCTGCATCGCGTCTCCCTCCCTTCCCTCACAGCGTGCAAGCGCAGCAGCAAAAAAGCAAAGAAACGTGTCTGCTGAACTTTCTCTGTGGTGTAAATTTGCATCCTGCAGCACAAAATACGGCGCGGAGGAAACTCGCTAAAATGCATTCATCTTCCAGCTCTTGGAGAGTTCAGACGCTTTTTCCCTCCTCCCCTCCCTGTCTTATCCCAAGGCTCTTTGTCTGTCTGTGGGTGCACGGCGCTTCTGCATGTTTTCTGGAAACTGGAAATGATTAAAAACGGATCTGGTCAGTTGGTCTCTCAACGCGATTGACAAAAACGGGAACGGGAGAAGGGGCTCCCGGGTGCCCCTCTGGGACAGAGCCAGTTGGGCACATCATGGACTCCTGGGAACAGTGGAACCTGATCTGCCTCTCTCACCTGTCTGTAGAGGATTCTGAAGACGTCTGGATATTCGTGGTGTTGGTGTCAGGTTTCCTGCTGTTTGGCCTGAGCGGTTACCTGGTTTACCGGAAAATTAATGAGCTGTCGAGGAATATTGGCTCAATCCCGGAGCTCAGGGATGGATTACACCGCGCTGTGAATACACAAACTCATATAATTGTCGAGATGAGTCGTAAGCTTGGAACTTTGGCTGAGATTCAGACTCTGGCACAGAAGGTTGATGCCATCAAAGAGAGAGTTGACGGATCAGCACGGATGGAATAGATTAATTTACACCACTATTGGATTCAGAGGGGTTGGAGACCAACAGAACTTTAAGTCAGAGAGGAAATCATCTCTGTCTGGCCCCAAACAAGTTCTTATCTGAATCTGGTGCCCTTGAGCCTGTGAGGCTGAAGTGAATACTCCCCCACAGAAGAAATGTGGAATGCTGCCATCGCCATGGCAACTCTGTCACCCTATCCCAGCCTGGGCAGGACTGAGACCAGTGAAGGTCGTGGAACCGTCTCCAGGAGTCACTGTGCTTTCTATCTCAATTACCTCCCTCCCCTGTCCAGACGGAGGTGACGAGCGCTGCTTATCGTGGCTGCATGCACTGACGTGTGGAGAGTCCCAACCCTACCTCACCACCTAGTGGACACTTATGTTGTGTAATGTCTGAAGTCTGTTGCATTTCTGTCTGAGGTGTTGTTTGCATAGCAAAGCTGCCCTCTCTGTGGAGGGTAACTCTGAAGTGCCTTTTTTCCCTCCCCCTGACCCAATCCTCATATAAACCCTCTGATCTCTATTAAGGTAGCGCGACTCGGGGTTACGAATGTCCACAGTCACCAATTCTTGTCATGTGTCTATGTATGTATGTCTGATCTCAGAATTGAGTGTACTGAAACTCTAATTTCCCTCTGGGATTAATAAAGTATCTTTGAATTTCAATTTGAATTTGAATCATGGTGGATTTACCACAAGTTTTAATGAACTCTGGTAGGTGTGAGGTGAGTCTTTAAGGCTCACTGCAGAAATAAAAATGCACCCGGAGCATCAACAGTCAAACGCAGCCACTCACCAACACTCATCCGTGAGCGTCAGAAGGCGGAGCTAAAAAAACTGTACAATAGCTAGAGCAGCCTTTCTCTGTGGTGGACGACTGACACCGAGTTCTGGCCACTAGGAGCCGATAGGGATAAACAAACAAACAAACAAACGAGATTCATTTTTGCGCTTTTGAACTATTTAGCTTGTTGAGAGTTTTATTGTTTAAATCTGTTAGATCGTTACTGACAGCAGCTACATTTAAGTTTCAGTTTCCCCTCTGATTTTCACACTAGCATCGGCTCCACTCCGCCTGGACCGGGTTGGGAGCGTTCTCATTTAGAATTTCCCGCACGCAACCGGGTGTCTTTTAAACCCTCTTCCCGAGACGGTCTGCCTGGAGCCAAACAGGGCTGACACGCCCACTGGCCACTGATTGGCCAGCTCAAAATAATGCCTACCATTAGGGGGAGCCTCCAATTGGTTGATAGCAAACGCGCATGCGCACGCGCGCACACACACGCACATGCATGCACGCACACACACGCGCACACACACGCACATGCATGCACGCACGCACACACACGCGCACACACACACACAGCAAAGCAGGATGCAAATCAGAGTCAGAGTTTCTAAAAGCAAGACTGCGCAGGCCGCTTTTGTTTAATAATAGTCACAGCGGACTTCTCTGCGCTCTTTTTACCCACCCACGTGCTCGGAGATGCACTCATGACATCACAGACCTCCCCTGTGCTCAGTCACGTCCACATTCCTAAAGCAGTGTTAGGAATGGTTAGGGTTAGCTGGCTCATTTAAAACATATTATGTTTTTGGATCCTGCCTCTTGAAAGAATCAGAATCTGGAATCGATAGGAACCCGAATTGAAATGAGGAATTGGAATCTGAATCGTTCAAATTCAAACCATTCAGATCTCCGAGGTGTAGCACTTCTGCTGCTTCCTGGAGTCCAGCAGCATCTTACTTTAGACTTTTTATTCTGTTAGGATAACAGTTAAAAGTCAAGGAGCAGTTTGAAAACAACATTAGCTCATCAGTCCTGCCAGGTGTAAACCATTTCTCTGAACAAAGGCCAACCCCCTGGTGAGTCGTGGCCAATGGAGGCTCACACTGGTCCAGGTTCTGTTGGGAGGTTTCTTCCCGTTAAAGGGAAGTTTTTCTCTTCACCGTCGCTACATGCTTGCCTACAGTGGGGATTGCTCTACAGTGTCTGACACAAGTCAGTGACTCGATGCGATCTGCTGGGTTTCCTTACAAAGGAAACTTTTAACTAAGCGACATAATAAACTGAACTTATTGCACAGATTAGTGGGTCCAGTTGGAATGTTACTTTGTGAAGTACGTGGAGACGACTCTTGTGATTTGTTGCTACGTAAATAAACTGAAAATCTTCATCCCTCATCATCGGATCTTTTGATTTAAATTTCTTTCCCTGCATCTTTATTCTTTATTAAATAAATATTAACACCTGATTCACAGTCTGGGGTTGATGTTCCGCCTTTTCAGACTGCCTCTCTAAGATTATTACAGATAAGCAAATGGTACATGACCCCCCCCCCCCCCCCCAAACGAGCTTTACAATCAGTCGCCCACCCATTCACACACTACCATGCAGCCACAGCTGCCCTGGGGCGCACTGACGGAGGCGAGGCTGCAGTGCGGAGGCGCCATTGGTCCCTCCGACCACCAGCAGCAGCAGGAGAGGAGGGTGAAGCGTCTTGCCCAAGGACAACGACTGAGCGGGATGTGAACCAAAAGTAGCAGGAAAAGGACATTTGTCCTCATCTGCAGAGAAGTCTCTCCACCTTTTGCATCAATTAATTTTTCAACCTGGATCTACTTGTTTACGCTTTGCTGGTAGTTAGCGTTGTCGGTTTCCACAACTGTGGTTTTAGAGAGAATTAAATAAATGAAAGTAGATAAAAATGGTCACTTACACAGTAGCTCTTAAGACGGATGAAGTCCACGGTCATTGGGATGGAGCGATCGCTGTTCCTGTTCAGGGCTTTGATGTAGTCCAGCAGGTCTGCAAAAAACTTGTAGCCCCCTTTGAGCACACAGAGGGCTACGATGTGGTGTCCCCCCATTTCCTTCATGATTTCTCTGGCCAGCCTCTCGGTCCTAAAGGGGGGTTAAAGAGAGGAAAGTCCGGTCTGGTTTCTGCTTCGGTCAACAAAACCTCCAGTTTAGCCTCGGTTCGTAGGCACAGCTGTCATTATTACAACACAACAACCTGAAATCTAGCAGACCAACCAACGCAACGAGTAAATCCAGAATCTCAGGCTGGTGTGGATGAATATATTCACCTGGTGGTTCCGGGCACTGAACAGGCTAGTTTTATAAACTATGGTTTACAGTCAAATTAGACATTTTGGTGGGAAATGTCCCAGAAAGACTCAATCAACAACAGCCAGTCCAGGGCAGTGAAGACCAACGTGTCCTACTGCCACCTTCAAACAGCTCCCGTCCCCAACACGCCACAGTGAATACTCGCAAAGATCTTTTTTTACTACCTTGATTCCACTGAAAACCATAATTACTAACGTGAAATCACCAGACATGTCCGGTGCATCCAGCGGGAAATTCCCAATATTTCTGCCTAAACAACCATACAATGTAAAAATCAACCAAAGCTGTTGATGTTGCTGCTGCAGTGAACTAATGTAGATAATAATGGTCTCTGCGACACACCTGATGACTAGGCAGTCGTGTAGTTTAAACGTATAAACCGCGTCCATTTGCATGGCACTGGGTCATGAAGAGCAGTACTGCCAGTTACCTTGGAAAAGAAATCTGATTACTGATTAATCCATTTAAAAGTAATTTCATTACTCTGTTGACTATTTTATTTTAAAAGTAACACCATTCGATTACTGAAAAAGTAGCCGTGGTGCAGTAACGTGTTAAGAAGCACTGTTGAAACAATAAGTTTGGAGTCTTGAGATGAGCTCCAGAAATAAAACATGAAACATCATTTCTAACAGAATATTTCTGTTATAGTTGATAAGAGTTGAAACTGTTTGTGCATTTATTCTGTCCTTGTTTAAGATCTTTAGCCCCATTTGCCCCCTTTAACCAACAGGAGTCTTCACCCTGTGATTCTGTAGGTCAGAAACTAAAGTCACTGAATTAAACTCAACCTTGTGTCTAGTCATTTTGCCTGGGGAGATTTTTTGTGGCTGAATTATTTAAGTAATTAAATGAATTGTGTCATCCAACTAAGGGAGCAGCACCAACGATGTGGGTTGATTCAGCGTGTACGTGGATCCTACACCGAAGTGTAGCTTCCATCTTCTGCATTTCTCAGCTCATACTCCATCACCGTGGTACATTTTGTTGACATTTAAAGAGGACTTATTACAGGGTATCTGCAGGTTTAAGGGAGCCAAATCTAATACCTTTTTAAGACCACTTTGACCAAATTTAAGCTATTTTTTAAATTAAATTCAAGCTACTATTTCCAGCTATTGCCTGGAACCGGTGCCAACCACGTCGCGAATGTGGGATTAGCCATCCAGTTACCATTAAACTTGCACTTCCCCATGGCGCAAGCTCCCACTAGCTTAACCAGCTAATGTGCTCATCTAAAAATATCCCCCTTTCACAACCAGCTGAATGTGTACGGTTCCGCTTACGCCAACACCACACACAAAAAACGCTGAACACTAACTAGAAATTCACGAAATTTTTATAGAAACAAAAGAATCTTGTTTGTTGGGTCATTTAAGACCTTTGGAAACTGTATTTAAGGATTATTTGTCATTTTTAAAGATTTTAAAGGCCTTAAAATTGGAAAAAGCAAATTTAAGACTTTTCAAGGACCCACGGATACCCTGGATTACACTACTTTAAAAATAAGTTATGATTGATTCATGGTCGATGCAAAACATGTAACCCTGTGCCCCAACTCCCTCTCACATGACTTCATTTTGGCAGTTTTATTCTTGACACTTTCAGTACCTTCCAGAATGAGCCGTATCACTTCACGGCCACGCCCACCCATGATTGGCTGATATGAGGTGAGGAGCTCTGATATCTGGGAGGAGTTCAGAGTACAACTACTGCTCATCCAGTGTCGAAAGATAAGGGGAGGTTCTATGCCAATGTTCCTTACTGTGACATCACAATAAGGGACTTTTTGAAAGAGATCTTAGAACGAAAGGTCTTAGAACATCAAACACTGATTTGGAGAGTCTAAAGAGGCAATAGAGAGCCACGTGGCAGCACTAAAGGATGAAAAAAGTCAGATTTGCATGTCTTATTACAACATGTAAACAAGTGTAGAATTCAAATTAGAAATGCAAATGTAATGTTTGCATGATCAGCTGGAAGGAGCTGGAGACGGGAGACGTTTCAAGATAAAACACTATGACCTTGGCTGCTTTCGGACTGGCTTTTAGCTCATCAATCCTATTGAATGAAAGCTATTTTTTAAACAGAAGCTATGATGGTTAAAAGATAGCAACCTTTGCTTTTACACAGAAACACTCAATCATATCCCTAATCCCATTCATATCCCTTGAAAGGAAAGCAACAGGTGAGTCAGGATTATTTAAAGACAAAGTCACCCACCTACCAGAGTCTTACTCCACCCACACTTCCAGTTTTAAAAATGTGTCTAAAACATGTCTGCACCTCTGAAAGTGATATCCAGCTGGCGGGGTCGGAGTTTGGTTGACCTTCTCCGGTAATCCAATACCGTTCTCGTTGCCGTATCCCAGAAAAAAAAACTAATCTGACCGACTAGCAGAGGCTTCAGAAGCTACATCTGACTGATGACACATTGTTCTCTGCTATAACGCTAACGCAGAAACACCGGAGTCGGGGGTTATATCTCCTTGTGAAACGTCGCCAGCAGCCCAGGGCCTAGACCGGAAGCTAGTTTCTGCTTTTCCCTCTCCAGTCAGAAACATCAGATTTTCTTAAAATTCCAGCTGTGAAAATCCAAAAACCTTTTTCATCTGAGGTCTCAGTACTGCTTCACACGTGCCGTTCAAAGGAATTTTGCCCCTGGCCAATATCTTTAAACTGAGTACAAGTACAACTTAAGAAACACAATAAGCTTTAGGAAATGTTGGTCAGAACAAGGGCTGGAGGATATAGAAAAACTGCATTTTTAAAAAAAATCATGTTGATCGATATTAATAATTATTGATAATTATAAAAAATATAGAAAATATATTTTAAGTACAGCCCTGGCCATTTTTTGTCATTACTTTATGATAAAACGAGTTGGTTGTGTTACCAGCCTTGGTTTCTAATCGATTCTCTGTAAATGTTTCCACTGATCATTGTGTTTTCTTAGTCAGATTAGTAAAAACCAGAATATCGCTGCGCTGGTGAACCACTGTAACCTTCTTACTTGACAATTTCCTCCACCTGTTTGGTTTGAGAGTAGGGCTTGGCGACAGAGCAAGCCTGGGTCTGTGTTTTTGACTGAATGGGAGTATGACTCTAGTATTAAGCTACCTGGTAGGCTATAATAGAGACAAGACAGGAAACATTTTATTTAAGTGTTTATTGAATCTTTTTTTTTCTCTATCGCACCATAAGTCTATAAGGCTTGTGATCACGCGTGCTTACACAAAGCATTCTGGGATGTGCGTGGCCATGACGGAAGGTTGACGATGAAACCGTGAATCAAACGGTACCGTCACAGAGAAGAAGCAGATTTGGATGAAAGAAAGTGTTAAACAATATAATAAAATCCCAAAAGGATGTGGAATATCCATGAGTACGTCAGATAAAGACATTGGGGACCGGTGTGTGGACAAAATCAGCATTATAAATGGTTTTGATCCATATGAAAAAACCCAAGACCGGAGCACTGATGACATGTTGGTGCCGCTGCAGTTCTGCTCAACGGACATTTTCGGCTTTCTTGTTTGTGGTGTGAGCGGATGTAAACGTCCGGATGAGAGGTAAACGTTTTATTTGTTGGTTTTTCTAGTAAAACAATCAAAATCGTCATCCCACAGAAGAAGTGTAGCAGGAGAAGTTGTGTTGTGTGTCAGCGTGCATGTGTAGCCTCAGTGTGTGTGGGTGTTGCGTGTGCATGACGCGGCTGAAGGAAAGAAACGATGTATAAAAACGTACACCATCTGTGACTTACCAGAATGAAAATACTCTGGAAGGTGACGTTTGGTCGCCTTATAGCTGCGATCCAACAAGACTTTGTTAGGCTAGATACTTGGTCTCCGTGGTTTTGCAGGGAAACGGTGAAAAGTTGGCTTGTTTTCCACCTTTACTCCCCCGGCGATCACACGTGTCACTCCACAACACAGCAGCCATTTACTAGAGTTGTGTAATATAACCGATCAACTGAATAATAGATTCATTTAGGCCGCAAGAACGAGACTGAGCGTGCTCTTCACAGTAGTATCAAGCAACAAGGACTCACACGCCTCCAACGGGGCGGCTGCGTCGGTGACAACGTCACGATCACAAGCCCTATTGATAGGGCTGTAGCGAAGCCTCGACGAAGTCGACGGCTCGATTCTAAAAATTTGTCGACGTCAGATCCGGAAGTCGACGCACCGCGCCCACTTGTTGCATCCGCAGGAGTTTGTAAATAGAAGAGGAATCTGCCTGTTTTTCCTCTAGTTCGCCCTCTTCTCCGCCTTCACTAACATCTCCGCCAAATACCGAAGACCCGGAACAACGTCCGTCCACTACTAGATTATTTTCCTGTTTTGCCCCTTCGTCTCCCGGCAACGGACAACAACTTCCAGGGTCAGATGCGCTGCTTCGTCTCTACCGCAGATGTAGGACATCACCGGGAGCGTTTCTCCCTTCATTAAGGAGCTTCTTTCAGACATGAGGAGAGCTGTTTTGGTGGTAGCAGTCTCTCCTCCGTGCTGGTCTGTTTGCTGCTGGGTGTTTTTGGTTTATTTAAACTTGGTAACTTGAACTTAACGTTGGTAAAGCTACTGTTAGCATCTTCGCTAACAGCTTCTTGCGTTGGGATAAGCTGTTACGTTTTGGTTTAGAGTTCATCTTTTTTGTGGTGCAGATCTCCCTTTTATTACATTTAGAGTGTTGTGGGTTTTCGGTTTAGTGTAAAATATCACCTGAGTTTGGTTTAACCCGTAAGACCACTCGCCTCACGCACATAAGTGACCAAAACAAAGCAGCGTGGAGACACTCCACCTTCTACCACCTCTCAGGCAGCAGCCTGCACTCCCAAGTTCTACACGTCACCAGAACATAACCAACCAACACAATAAACGCAGTGTTATACAAAATGGAAGGCCTGTAGTGTTTATTCTCTGACTTACAGTAAGAATTTATCAATTTTTTTGAGGAATTTATCTGAGATTTTCTGGTTTTTGTTAATTGTGCAATAGAAAAATAATCATTAGATTAATTTTCTAAATAGTCATTAGAATAGTCGACTATTCGATAAAATAATCGTCAGAATAATCGTTTTAAAAATAATCGTTTACCCCCAGCCCTACCTATTGATCGATATATATAGTTTGTTGTGGATAGGCGTTGCCTTGGGTCACATGGTGTCGGTAATAGTAATAGAGATTGCTATCACCTGTTCAGGTGAGGGAATGGGAGAGTGAGTGGGTGATGAGGGAAGTCGACTTTTTTGCTGACCGCTCAAGCTTAGAATGTTTTCTTTTATTTATCACTGTTTTCAACGGATTTGATAACACTTTGATAACAAATAAAGGAGTTTTTTAACCTGGAACTTTGACTTACGAGTGGAACAGCGGGCGCGTCAACATTATTCCCCTTTTCAGCTGCGCGGCGACTCAAAGGCTTGACAGTCGCCAACATAGTTATTGAATTATTGTCCAGCCCTAGTCAGAACTGAACAAAAGAAAACGATCTTTTATGTAGCGCATATAATAAACAAAGAGAAAAATACAAAATTGTGATTAAAAAGTGTAAGGAAAGAAAAAAATGAATAATAACCACCAAACTAAGTTTAAAAGGTTTAAATGGAACTGGCTTTTCAAAGCTAATGAGATTATTTGTCGTGTGCAGATGACCCGCCTCGCTAAACCGCAGTCCTTAACGGCAAATCAGGATTTAGGGGATTCAAACACGTGATGGGAAAGATGACTGAAGGGAGAAAGAACATGGCTCAAGAAGCAATTTAGAAGCTGGTTCTGCTTTCCTGTAAACAAAATGTCAAGCTGCAATAGTTGTTGTTCCAACCTGTGTTTGCAAACTGATAATCTCACACTCCCACTAATCTGCTTCACAGCGACTGTACAAACAACCCACCTGTCCAAGATGAGTCCGTGGGGGATATAGACCCTCTCCAGGTCAGCAGCATAGTGCTTTGGTATGCAGAACAGGTCCAGGTCGTAGCCCTGCTCCTCGTCGCTGATCTGGAAAAACGGCACAAAGAAGCTGAAGAGATCCCAGCCAGTCAGCGTATCACCTCACAAAGTAAACCCAGGACAGTAAAACTTTACTACTCTGGTTGTTCATCTGTCCCAAAGCAACAGGACAATGTCTGATCTGCACCCAGCACCACTCTGACGCATAGCACATGTTTAACCTCGGTGCACCCTTCTGGTGTGTGGTGGTTCATCTGATTGAACGTTTTGTCCAAAAACTAACATTTTCCCAGAAATGCTCTAATGCGACTAATCCTGTTATCAGGGAGTATTTCTAGTATTCAGCAAATCAAACGTGTGCACTGTGGGTCAAACGGGAGGCCATGAGAGAAGCAGCAGACAGGAATCATGTGACCGCATGGAAGCTGCGGAGCGGTGGGAACGTACACAGTGTCCATAAAGAGAATAATCACCCTAAAAACACAATAAAACCCCTTAAGCTGCAAATATTAATAATGACCAGTAACAAGCAGGTGTCCTGATCTGAAACGCTCCTCCACAAACACAATCCAGCTAGCTGTCCTGTCTTCTTGGTAGCAAGGTGACTGATCTGAGTTCAGAGTAAACACCACCTGCAATTTTTGGCTAATAATGTTTGAACACCTTCACCCCCACACTACCGGCATCACCCACGATCTGACATTAAGGTCAGCCAAATAGCCACTACTCTGATTATTTGAGAAACAGGTTCCAACTCGGCTTTCAAACCGACATCTTCTCACTCAGCGTTGGCAAATTCTTAAAAAACATCATCGCTGGTTATTCATTCACTTGTTCCAGTAAGGGCCCGTCACAGCCCAGCCTCAAATATTACAAAACACTCTCATCCCACGAAAGGAAAAAAGGGAAAAGAAACATGACTCAAAAAAAGAACATCTTTCTTTTGCGTTTCAGACGGTTTGCACACCCATTACAAATGTCAATGTAAGCTAATTTGGAAACCTTCGACTGAACTAAATCCCATCATAGTTTTGTGGTCTGCACAAGTGAAACCCAACACTGGGATCAGGATCTCACCGTGGGTCACAAACCACTCAGCTGAGGGGGGTACTTGAAATGATCTCCAGAGATAAAATACAACTGAACACAATATCTGAGAGAATTTTTTAACTCTACTTGAAATAAAAGCTAAAAACAATAGCCCTCAATGGATATAAACAGTAAATAAGTGTTCATCCCGTTTGTTTGTTTGTTTGTTTGTTTACTCATAGGGTTAGCTGATGTTCTGTGGATCAGAAGCTAAAATCTGGTCTACACTAAACCAAGCAGACTAAAGCAACTTCTGCTGCAGACACAACTGCCTTAACACTTAATAAGAATTGGATGTAAACAAACCCTGTTAAGATACACGCTGAACTGTTTACTGGCACGTTTGAGCACCCTTTAAGGACCTGGAGCTAAAGCGCGCCCCCGTGTTGGCACCTCTATCCTGCAGACGGACTGGGACGGAACTGGTCGTAATAACTCGAGCTTTGCCGCCGACAGACACAGAAAACCGCACGTTTTGTTTTGGGGGGGCTCATCCGAGAGCATCTCGTGCGTCACTAGACATGATGTGCGCGTGCCAACCGCAGGCCAAGCTTTAAAACCATGTTGCCTAAACCGAAACGTCTTTTAGAGAAAACAAAACGCAAAGAGTACCGTGTGCTCACTACAGTGAAGTCAGCGTGTCCGGGTACAGCGTGCTGCGTACAACACCGTAACCTAACGGCTCCTCTTTCACAGGAGGGCGGACTTACCACGACACAGGGGCTGGAGGTCGCCATGCTCGTCCAAATACAAACACTCCACCGATGTCTTCTTGGACAGAAGACTATAATTTATACTTAGACTGGTTCTTGCAGCCTTCTCAGTTTGATGACAGCACACACATGGCGCTGCGGGAGCTGAAAGGTCTTGGCTCTGTCCGGGCAGCGGCTTCCGTAGCTCATCCACCTCTAGTGCGCAGACTCCAGAGCAGCGAATCACAGGAGATAATTCTCCTAGCCCCGCCCCTATGACGCGAAGGCGCGGAGGGTCTCGAACTCAGAAGGAGCTGCTACTAGCTAGCTAGCTAGCTAGCTAGAAAGCTAAAGCACATTTCTGTTGTTTAAACGCCTTCTCACGCAGTTATTCAACAACAGGATGAGAGAAGATTTCTAAAGTAGATCAAACCACCCAGCGTCATGACTGAACTGGTTGAACAACATTCCAGATGCCAAGCTTACATGGAAGATAGTAAAAAAATTTGTTCAATTAAGTTTTTACTTTGCTTCCCACACTGGGTGTCTTAAAGTATCGTCCTAGACACAAAATAGTAGTAGAAAACAGAAGCACGCAAAAATCCAATAAAAATGTATCAACGAAAAAAATGTAAACAATGTATGTACATTTTTGTGCAAAAAATGTGACATAATAGTGGATGTGTGCAGTTGTTGAATACAGATTGTGCAAATAATTCTGGTGTCAGACAACAGCAGGTTAATGAGCCTTTAAACAGATTCAAAATGTGCAAAATCAAAATAAATTGCCCAGGGGCATCAGCTCAAGAGCTTAGGACTTGTGCACCTCCAGCCTGAAGGTAATCGATGCTGGGGGTCAGGGGTGTTTGATGATGGAGGAGCCTCTCCTGTTGCTCTGTGATGGGATCTGCACTGCAGAGAGGGTTGTGGAGTCCTGGGAATCTTTGCAACAGTTAAACTCTCTCTGCAGGACTTCGAGGTCCATACTGGTGGTGCTCCCATATCAGATGGTGGTGCAGCTGTAGAAGCTGATGATAGTTCTGGGTGACATCCCAAACTTCCTCAGGAGGAGCCGCTGCTGTTGAGTTTTCTTCACCCCCTGTGTGGTGTTCATTACTGATGTGAACGTGAACCCCCAGCTATCTGAAGCTGCTCACCCTCTCCACCTCAAGGTGCTAGATAAAGAAGGGCAGAGGTGTCCCCTCCTTCCTTGTGTCCACTATCATGTGCTTGGTGTGGTGTGTGTGGTTGTTGTTCTCTCTTAAACAAATGCTACTCAAGCAGAGGAACAGCTAATCTACATGCCTGAGCTTTTTATTTATTTTTTGTCTAACCTCAAAAAGAACTACAGTTATTTACATCAGCAGGGCTGTGGTCACTGGTAGGCAGCTGTTCAAAAGTTGTTTTTTGTAAAACAACATTGTACGATCAACACCATAACTTTTTAAATCATTATCAAAACTTTGGCCACAGCTGGAGAAACCATGTTTTGATTATGGATCCAACTCTGGAGACTCCTTTCTACTTATTTTCTGATCAATGTGTGATGCTCTCCCTACACTGTCAGATATGCACACCTGGTTGTCAGAAGACTGCTAGAGCTCCATCATAGATGACTGGGAATAGCATGGACAGCAAAGGAAAGCAGTGTCAAGGTACTGGAACCAAGGATGAACACGTGGGTTTGCCGTCTGCTGTTTCAGTGCTTTATCGTGGAAGACTGTTCATGTAGGTGTGAAGATAGATTTCGGCTTCAGGTTTGACACGCATGTTAGCATTTATGCTTTTTAGCCTACACTGCTTGGCTAGAATTAAGCTGCTGCTATCGAGAGTTCACCTGGAGTCACTCATGCTTTGGCCTTATCCAGAATGGACTACTGTATGCCAGCCTTAGTCAGGGTGCGGTGGCACAACTACATTTAATCGGAAACTTGGCTGCTAGGTTCTCGACAGGCACAACGTGATGGGAGCACATCACTCCTGTGCTGGCATCTATGGCTCCCCGTGCACTTCAGGGCAAAATTCAAGGTGCGAACCAAACCCTGGTGTTTAACGCTCTTCAGGAAGCGTCTCCATTTTACTTGGCTAGCCTTTTTAACAGGCATGCTCCATCAAGAACCCCCCACTTGGCTGATGGGGAACGTCTGGTAGTTTCACGTTCAAAGCACAAGTCGCGTGTTCTCGGTATTGGCTCTGAGGCTATGGAATGATTTGCCTTAAACCATGTGCCAAGTCACCTTCCTTGCTGGTTTTTAAGTCACATTTGAAGAAGCATTTTTACGCAATGTCTCCAACAGTAATGTCATAGCGTGGCATTTTTATTAGGTTTTATGGCTGTTTAAATGTTTTACTTGTTGCATTGCCCAGCACCTTTGGTGTCTGATAAGGTCGTGGAAAGGGCTTTACAAATTAAGTGAAATGAAAATCCCCAAATTGTTACCAGATGGTTGGAGGAGTTCCCCTTGGAGGATGTTTAGGTACCATGCTTTATTCATGGCTGCTCAGAGGCTAAATGTGAGTCCACTATCTTAGCCTCACCATGTAAACCTCTTCCTTCTCCAATCAGAAAGGAGATTCATCAGAGACAATCGCTTTCCTCAGCAGTCCAATCCCTGGAACATTTGCAGACCATTAACCTGTCCCTGATGTTTTTCAGGAGAAACGCCTTCTTTGCTGCCCTTCTTGAAGACTGCCAAAAACTGGATGAACTCTCTCCTGTCAGCTGATATTTCCAAGCAGCTCTGCTGTGGAGCTCTGATCCCACAGCTGGGTCAGATTTGGAGACGGCTGCTGGACTTTCTTGGGAAAACTGAAACCTTCTTCACTAATGAAGTGAATATATTTTTGGACTTTGCAATTACCTGTACTTTCTTTGATGACTTAAGGTTCTGAAGTTTATTCAAACTTTGAATATCGATGTTCTGAAAACCTGCGTCTATGCTGCACACATTAAACAAGTACAACCTCTAAATGATTATTTTACACTAAAAAGCTAAATTCACAGGCTTGTGTAAACTTGTGTGAACCTGTAGAAGGGATTTAATAAACAAAGGCCATCTTGGTGTAAATATTCAGCTATCCGAATGCTAAATTATCATTTTCTGCAGCTCTCTGACACCCAACAGTCATTTGGCTTAAGTCTCATAAGAAAGACTCGACTGACTCAGTGGTGTGTAAAATAAAACAGTTTCTGTTTAAATCATTCATGAATACATTTGTTGAGATACAAGTACAACAAAGAAAGTCAAGCCAACTCCTCTAAAAGGGGCGTCGCCCTTTCACAACCAAATACAAAAGAGGACAAACGCCACCTTTACCTGTGGGGATCCCAAGTGCATGCTGGCCAGACCTGTGACTGAAATCCAGGTACTCAGAAATAACTCATCATGACCACATAGTAGCAAAATAACTAACATAGGAAGGGGGGATGATGAGCTTTTTTGAAGACATGACTGTTGAAACAAGGTCATCAAACGGCATGGTGTCATAAAGACTCTTAACAAATAGACTCCTCTGAAAAGTGAGTCGTTTGGAGGCTTAAGGAGTTTTTGAGCAAATGGTTCATGTGATCCGGAGCGCCATGGGCAGTGAGTGAGAATCAGTCCGTCAGCAATCCTCAGTTCTGACCAAGCCCGGCACCCCGACAGGAAGTAAAGCCGTCTATGAGAAGGACCCCGTCAACTCAAAACAGGCTCCAGACAGATGACACCTGGTGAACGCCATGTCCATCTAGTTGTAAAAAAAACAAATAAAAACACAAAACGGGTGAGAGGCTGATGGGGTTCCCGGTATAAAAACTTTTCTTCCGTTTCTCTCCTCCGAGGCGCTCAGGTTGAGGCTGTAAAGGAACAAGGTGGAGAACAGTTGACATGCCTTCTGCTGGTAGGAAAACACCAAACATGTCACCAGGCGAGTGTGTAACCATACCTAGTTACCGTTAACCTGTGTAGACAGTGTTCCTCCGTGGTCAACAGCAGCCTTCTCTCTGCTGCGACTCTCCCGCTCTTCATCCTCCTCATCCCGCTCCTCGTTCCCGCTGTGGTTCTTACAGTACAGTCTGGGAACGGGACAAACCGCCAGTTAACTACTGTTGGATCACATGTCTCTAGTAACCCAGACAACCCAAAGACCAACAAGGCACGGGTTACATTTGTATAAACAAACATGACACGAACAGTTACTCGCATTAGAACAAGATTAATTAGCACATTAAAGGGAGACTTGGCAGTTTAGGCTTGCTTTAGCACCCCCTAGTGTCCATTTGTAGAACCAAAAGTGCATTCATCCTTTTTAACATCTTCATCTAACAGCCAATCCAATCCAATTTTATTTATATAGCGCATCTAAAAACAGCATGTCAGCTGACCAAAGCACTGCACAGAGTTAAACCTAAAAAGCCATTTAAAATACACATACATACACATTAAACACTGATAAAAGCTGTCATAAAATAGAAACACCTAAAAACAATACAAATGTATAAAACAGCCAATAAAAGAGAAGTCAATCAAAACAGAAGAGCCACAACATAAAAGACTGATCATTGACCAAAAGCAAAATTAAAGAAATGTGTCTTCAGGCTGGATTTAAACTGTGCCAGTGAAGAAGCCTGGCGTTCCACCAGAGGGAGTGCGTTCCAAGAGAGAGCAGCTCTGACAGGTATAAGGGGGCTAGACCATTCAGGGCTTTGTAAGTAAAAGTTAGAAACTTGTGTTGAATCCGAAATTGCACCGGATCCAGTGTAGATCCGCCAGAATGGGAGTGATGTGGCAGCGTCTATTAGCATTAGAAAGACATCTGGCTGCAGCATTCTGGACTTTCTGCAGACGATTTAGGACAGATACATTTACACCAATTAGAACCGAGTTGGAAAAATCGAGTCTGGAAGTGATAAATGCATGAATCACTGATTCCAAGTGTGGCCTCGTAAGAATGGGCTTTAGTCGGGCAAGGCGACGAAGCTGGAAGAAGCAGGATCGAACAGTGGCATTAACATGTGCACTCACTGATAAGTCAGCATCCAGTTTAACCCCAAGGCTGGTCGGTCACACATGAATTAAGGTTTAGGGGGGAGAGATCAAAGGCAGCAGAAGTATGCAGATGATGTTTTGGTTTGAATAGCATGACCTCAGTCTTATTGTCATTGAACTTCAGGAAATTGGAAGCTAGCCAGGTTTTAATTTCTGAGAGACAATCTGAGAGCTGGGTAATGGAACTTAGTTGATTTAAAGCCATATCAATTGGACAGTCATCGGCGTATGTGTGATAATGTAGGCCGTGTTTAGCAATGATATTTCCCAGTGGCAAAATATAAATAGAAAAGAGGAGTGGACCTAGAATAGAGCCCTGGGGAACTCCCCAGGGAAGCGGGACAAAAGGAGAGGAGCAATCGCCTATGTGGATGCTGAAGCTCCTGTCAGACAGATAGGAGTGAAACCAGTTTAGTGCGGTCCCTGTGACTCCAACAAAAGATTCCAGCTTAGTTAACAGAATGTTATGGTCAACCGTATCGAATGCCGCTGATAGGTCTAGCAGTAGTAACAGAACAAAGGAACCAGCATCAGTTTCTGTCAGAATGTCATTTAACACACAAATATGTGCAGACTCAGTGCTATGATTTGGCCTAAAAGCAGACTGAAAATGGTCGAGTAGTGCATGCTCCAGTAAATGATGTGAGAGTTGAGCATGTACCACTATTTCAATAACCTTTGATAAAAAAGGAAGTTTGGAGATTGGACAGAAACTTGCATAATCATTTTGATCCAGGCCAGGTTTTTTCAACAGCAGTTGGACCGCCTTCTTAAAGGAATCTGGAAACACTCCCGATGACAAACTGGAATTTAAAGTACTCAAAATAAAAGGACCCACTACTGGCAGGGCCCCAAGTAGCAACATTGGGGGGAGAGCATCCAGAGGGGAGCCTGAGGGTTTGATGGACTTGATTAATTTATCCAGATCTTGAAGGGAGACAGGATCAAAATCAGAGAATGGAGGAGAACAGAGTGGTTCTTTCTGGGTGACAGGTCCCAACAGATTCTGTCTAATAGAACTGATTTTTTCCAGGAAAAAATTCTGAAAATCAGTGCAAAGTGCTATGGTTGGTGTGGAGGGGGCGGTGGATTCCTTTAGTGAAAGAACAGAGTTAATGGTACTGAAAAGCTTGTGTTGATCACCATGATGTCTCTCAATGATGTTGGCAAAATAATTATTTTTAGCTGATCGGACAGCTTTTTGGTAAGCTGCCTTCATTAGCGTCTACAGGAGCGATTCATCATTAAACAAATCAGCTCTGTTCACGATCTAAAACATGCAGGAAACGGGCTGGAAGCAGACTGCGGCGCCAGGTATGTCGGCTTCACTTTAATAACAAGGACCACATCGCCACTCTGAAGTTGCAAGTGCAATAATCTGTCCACAGAGGGCGATGGTGGCCTGAGTGAGATTTCATTCACCCTGTAAAGGGCCATTCTGGCACATGATGCCTGATGAAAATGATTTTAAAATGTGGAAAAGTTGCATAGCACGGCTTTAAACCCCTGTTGGACTTCTATCAGATCTTTGTAACACGTTGTTCCCTCTAAGTTTCACCTTGGAGGACTAAAGAGTCTGTGCTAGTTGCCGTGGTTACGATGTCCTGTAATGTCATCTCCAGGTCCAGAACTGATGCTTCTATACATTTCATTCATTCACGTTGTGAAAGAAAAGGAAACACCTTCTGTCTGGAGTGCAGCTTGGATCAGATGTTATTTCATTTATCCATTTTGGCTACAGACGTTTCTAAACTCCTCCAGTGAGCTGTGGGTAATGATGGAAGGAACAAGGTCATGAATACTAAAGTTTCCTCCATTGGGTGTCAAGGCTCACCCTTAGCCGCTGCTCCTCCATGCTGAGAGGATACAGCTGAGGTGGTTTCAGGCCA